CAAACAAAACAAAGTAAAACAACAAAGTAAAGCAAAACAAATCAGTAAAATAGCAAAGCAAACAAAACAAAGCAAAACAACAAAGTAAAGCAAAACAAAACAGTAAAATAGAAAAACAAATCAAAACAACAAAGTAAAGCAAAACAAAACAGCAAAATAACAAAACAAAGCAAAACAACAAAGCAAACAAAACAAAGCAAAACAACAAAGTAAAGCAAAACAAAACAGCAAAATAACAAAACAAAGCAAAACAACAAAGCAAACAAAACAAAGCAAAACAACAAAGTAAAGCAAAACAAAACAGCAAAATAACAAAACAAAGCAAAACAACAAAGCAAACAAAACAAAGCAAAACAACAAAGTAAAGCAAAACAAAACTGCAAAATAACAAAACAAAGCAAAACAACAAAGCAAACAAAGCAAAACAACAAAGTAAAGCAAAACAAAACAGTAAAATAGCAAAACAAAACAAAGCAAAAAAACAAATTAAAACAACAAAGGAAAACAAAACACTAAAATAGCTAAACAAAACAAAGCAAAACAACAAAGCAAACAAAACAAAGCAAAACAACAAAGTAAAGCAAAACAAATCAGTAAAATAGCAAAGCAAAACAACAAAGCAAAACAACAAAGTAAAGCAAAACAAAACAGTAAAATAGCAAAACAAATCAAAACAACAAAGTAAAGCAAAACAAAACAGCAAAATAACAAAACAAAGCAAAACAACAAAGCAAACAAAACAAAGCAAAACAACAAAGTAAAGCAAAACAACAAAGTAAAGCAAAACAACAAAGCAAACAAAACAAAGCAAAACAACAAAGTAAAGCAAAACAAAATGGCAAAATAACAAAACAAATCAAAACAACAAAGTATAGCAAAACAAAACAACACCAATGACACCTAAAACTCAGCTTGCCTTATCTTGAAGTTGTGTCACTGCAATGCTGCTAAGGCTCTGTAAATACATTATCAGAATATATGCTCTTGAATCACTGGGCTGCTGTTTTACTGTCTCTTATCATGCACCGCATGCACTGAATAGCTGATTTTAGTGGAGACTGAACATCTGTTGTTGATTAAACAGTCACGCTGAAAGTTTTATAACCCATTCAAGCTGGTGTTAAAATGCAGAACACGCATTAACACATGCACTGATAAATGCTTCAAGATTTCAGTTCACAACCTTATGTGCTATGTACAAGTTTAGGCAAAACACCTAACACATTAACACTGCTTCATATATGTTAATTAGTGTGTAATTAGTTCAGTGATGCCATAGCTGGCTGAAATCTCAGCCCAATACAGCCTGAGGCATTCAGCAAAAGAAGGGTATCTTCAGTTTGTAATGGAGAATAGACGCGCACCTGAGCTAATGCAAATGAATTATCAATTTACATGACTCAGCTAAAGTAAAGACCATTTTCCATTAGAATGTATATTTTATTGAGCATATGTTATGTTTGTAGGGATAAAGGTTTGATTCAGGATTTTCTCTTTTCATTATATAAAAAAACAACAATATTCTGTTCTCATGGTTCATGGTTTTGATTATGCATATTATCTTTGTTTTTGTGTTTATCACTTGTGTGGCATTTGATACTCCCAAGATAACTGTTGCCAAGACACCAGCTCAGTCACCAGCCTCTCACTGGGCATTCTGAGAGAAAACTGGGCCAATAACGGCTTTTACAAGCTAACAAGACATTGATTTCTCAGAGAGATTGGGAAAAGGCCTTTACAGCCTTAATTTTAAAAATTAAAATCGCACCTACTCTGCTTTTGCCTGCAGTATTTGCTGGTTATAGATGCAAATTCATACGTTTACAGCCAGTCAGTAAAGTGGGGACTTTAATCTCACAATTGTGCAGCAAAATTTCAAGGGCGAAATCCAGTCATTTCAATAAGAATACACACAACCAGGAATGTTTTGCATGAGGACAAAAAAATCCCAGCACAGTTTTTGCAACAGATTCAATTTGGTCATGTGAATTCGTCGCCTTGATCAACAGACATCTATACACACTATTTTGCCAAAGGTATTGGGACACCCCTCCCACAGTTGTATAATATCAAGCACATAGACATACAGACTGCTTATACAAACATTTAAGTCAGTAGCTCTCAGGACCTCAGTGAATTCTAGTGTGGTACCGTGATAGGTTGGTATATCGTGATAGGTTGCTGCCTCTAAGTCCATTCGTGGAAACAATTGTGAACAACAACAACTCAGCCACGAAGTGGTAGGCCACATAAAAACACAGAGTGGCGTCAGCGCATGCTGAGGAGAACAGTGAGCAGAAGTCGCCAACTTTCTGCAGAGTCAATATCTACAGACCTCCAAACCTCGAGTGGCCTTCAGATTAGCTCAACAACAGTGCGTAGAGCTTCATGGAATGGATTTCCATGGCCGAATAGCTGCATACATGCCTTACATCACCAAGTGCAATGCAACGTGTCGGATGCAGTGGTGTAAAGTAGTGATGTAGTACTCAACACTAGTCTCGGACTCGAGACCGGTCTCAAGACCGATTTCTGCTTTCTCGGACTCGTCTCGGACTTGTTCCTTCAAAGACTCGGTCTTGACTCGGTCTCGACCCTTCAAAGACTCAATCTTAACTCTGACTTGTTCCTTCAAAGACTCAGTCTTGACTCTGTCTTGACCCTTCAAAGACTTGGTCTTGACTTGGACTTGTTCCTTCAAAGAATCGGTCTTGACTCTGTCTCAACCCTTCAAAGACTCGGTCTTGACTCGGTCTCGACCCTTCAAAGACTTGGTCTTGACTCAGACTTGTTCCTTCAAAGACTCGGCCTTGACTCGGACTCGACCCTTCAAAGACTCGGTCTTGACTCCGACTCGACTGTATTTGAAAATCAACGGACTTGGTCTCGACTCGAACTCGACCCTTCAAAGACTCGGCCTTGACTAGGGTGACCACCCGTCCCGCGTAGCGCGTGCGCGCACAGCGTTTGAAGCCCAATTCATGCGTCCCGCAAATTGAGACCGTGTCACGCATAATCAATGCTTGCTCAAAAAAAAAAAAAAAAAAAAAAAAAAGTCGGTCAGTCTATATCCTCGAGACCCAGGCAGCCAAACGTTGTGCCTGAACTCGTTCACGTTCATGAGCTCGTTCATATTGTGGGTGAACTGAACGTATTGTTTTACTGCCTGTCCTCATTAACGTGTGAACTCGTTCATTCTGGTGTCTGTGAACGCACGCTCTCTCAGTTTAACTTCGTTCAATGGGGTGCCAGATTTCTATAGAGCCTTCCAGGCGAAAGCCCGGCTAAACCTCAACGTGAACAGGGCTTAATATGTAGCGGAAAAAAACACCCAATCTGGCAACACAAGCCACCAGTGTCGCACCGCGGCCGCCGTCGACAAAGGCGTCATATGATAATTTAAACGGATTTTATAACGAGGTCGGTGAAGATGGGAACAATCTTACATTTCTGTGCAAACTTTGAACTGAACTAGTTCATTTTAAAATGTGTGAACTAAACTTTGAACTAGTTCAGAAAGTGAGAACTTCCCCAAGACCATAGACATATGTCTATGCCCCAAGACTGGTTGCCACTCCCACGTGACCTGCTGACTAGGTTGATGTCAACTTTTTCATTGTTGTCATGACAGCGCACCTTGTCATTCCGTGAACCTCTGGAGTTGTGAGTTTAGACTTTTTTTCGACTTTTTTTAAAACTGTTCCTGTGGTGTTGAGGAACTATAATTCCTGTTAATCCTATAATTCCTGTTAATCCTATAATTTTATATTTTTATTTATTTAAAGTGAATTAATTGTAATGAAAAATAAATCAAATTAAATAGCTAAAGTAAATCGTAAGTGGAAGTGCATCTGTCAATTCATTGAATGTTCAAAATATTCATTTTATTTAGAAAAAAAAAATACACATTGGTTGGCCTATTCATGAGAATATATCAGCAATTACAGATGTTTAGGGAATAGGGCATTATTAATGTATGTGCTAGGTATGTGCTTTTTTTTTTTTTTTTTTTTTAACAATTATTCATGTACAAACAGTAAGGCAATAGTAACAATTCTAGATAGGGGTAAACCACTATCAGAGTCCTCCCGTGGGATGGGGGCACCGCCGCGCCAAGCAGTGTCCCACATTGTCCCTCAGAAACATACCCCTTGTCCCCCCTTGGTTTATTAGCAGGTGGTCACCCTACCTGGAATGTTTTCATGAAAAACCTTAATTTCTTTTTTCGACTGAAGAAAGAAAGACATGGACATCTTGGACGACATGGGGGTGAGTAAATTATCAGCAAAAGTTTTTTTTTTTAAAGTGAACTACTCCTTTAAAGCACTACTTTATCCCTGTGTGATTTAAAGCGGACAGAAAGCTGGATCTAATGAGTCGTGAATGACGAAACCATTTTGACTTCCAGTTAAATCTAGGGTAACACTTTATTTTAATGGTCCCTTTTGAACATCCTGTTGACTATAAGTAACTTTTCAACTACATGTCAGCTAACTCTCATTATAGTATTAGTAGACTGTCTGCCAACTCTTTATAGTGATGCTCCTCCAACAGACACTATAGACCATTTCACAACATGTAAACAACACTGGTCCAGAAACACTTCCTGTTTCAGTTTGTAACTGTTTAACTGTTTCTGTTTTCTATCTTAAAGATGTTTGTTTAACTTTTTGATTCATTTTTAAATGTTCTGTTGGTTGTATTTTATCCCAGCTTTTATGTAGTGTTAAAAAACTGAAACAGGAAGTGCTTCTGGACCAGTGTTGTTTACATCTTGTGAAATGGTCTATACTGACTACATTGCAACTACATGTCAACTTATTCTATCCCTAACCCTACCAGTCTACTAATACTCTAGTGAGAGTTAGGTGGAACATTACTTATAGTCAACTGAATGTGTTAAAGGGACCATCCAAATAAAGTGAAACCAAACTGAGCGCTGTAAACATCAATAACAGCTTTAACTTTTCGAAGCTGACAAATGACCATGGTATAAACGGGATAATCCACGGCTAGCTGTGCATTAAATTGGTTTATTATTTCATAAGTTGTCCCCTACTTGCGTTCGACCAGTAAAATGGGGAATTTGAGTGATGCTGGTGTTCGAATGGTCTCACCCCCTCGTAAAAGCCCTTAAGGTAGACTTTCTCTTTGGCCTCGGCCAGTTTCTCTCTGTCATTCTGGCTTTGGATCTTCAGTTCATCACAAACCAAAGGAGCCGACAGGTTCCCATAGCCTGGAATCTCGATGATGGGTACCTGGTGGAACATAAGCCACTTTAGACGCACAGAATTTAGGAACGTTCGGAAAAATCCCTTAATCCATGATTAGCAATGTGAGGAACACGTTCGGTCATGCTAGCAATGTGCAAAATAATGTTAAAACATGTTAACAACTTGATAAAACATGCTATCAATGTGTTAAAATATGCAAGCAACTTTCTAAAATGTTTTATTGACATCTTTAACTATAATCTTCAAACTTTAAGCTTTTCAAAGTTATTTTTTAAACTTTTAGATTGGTTTTGTCAAGCCAAGAAAAAAAAGCAATTAAAAAGATTTGGGTAACACTTTACTTGAAGGGGTGTGCATAAGACTGACATGACACCTTCATAACCATGATATGACATATGTCTTGAATATGATGTAAGGTTTATGCATGTTTATGACAACTGTCATTAAGTGTCATTTGCTCAGTTATGACATTTTGAATGCAAATATGACATTGTTTAAGATGTCTTTATGACAATGTCTTTATGTCTTTGTCATGACAACTTGACATAAATGAAGCTAAACGGTCATGTGATTGGATTTGGCATTGGCTGTCATGAGGTCATTATAACTGTGTCATGAATATTTTTCGTGACCTCAACTACAGTGGTACTAATTGAATTTGTCATTAAAGAGTTATAATGGCTTCATGACAGGCAATGTCAAAACCAACCACATGACAGTTTAATGTAATATTGACCCATAAAGCTAAGTAATTTCAAAAGTTTGATAATTAATCTGTCAAGTTGTCATGACAAAGACTCTGACAGGTTATGATGTATTGGTTTATGTCAAGGTGTCATAACAAAGACATCTCAAACAATGTCATATTTGCATTAAAAATGTCATAACTGAGCGAATGACACTTAATGACAACAAACTTGCATAAAACGTCCTTCATATTCATAACGTGTCCTGTCATGATTATGAAGGTGTCATGTTAGTCTTCAAGTAAAGTGGTACCCTCACACACTGCCACCATGAAATCAATATCGAGAATTCTTATTTCTTAGAGAATATTGCAGTAAATGTATTACACATGATACATCACAACAATCCAATGATCCAACCAATTCCTGACAGACAAAATCCTTGTTTCGCTTCAAAATAGAGAAGGAAAGTCTTGACATTTCCGTTTCAGGCCGACTTATAAAATAAAATAAATAAAACTTACCGGCTCAAACGGTAGGACCATAAAATCTTGAATTCCATACTTCTCTCGCAAAGCCTAAAACAACAAAAATATCATCATCCACCACATTCCTCTTATCTGAAATAGTTATCTCTATGGGAATTTCCCTCAGAAACGGAACGGAATCAAGAAAAGAAAATGAAATTCCATAAAACAAAAACAACACCTGCTTCTTTTTAATGTCCCTCAGAGCGGCGATGTCATCCGGCGCATCTGACGGCACACTGGTCACAACTCCAGTTCCTGTGACCACAAATGAATTTCGAGATAACTTACTAAACGCTCAAACGATCGATATTAACAATTCTAACGTATCAATTTGGAGCCCAGGGTACAAGAAAAAGAATAACTGCCGAATCACATTATAGGCGAGTTTGTGATCGGGGTAATGTGGTCCGCACAGCCTGAGGGAACATCCATCTCTCCTAGCTTCGCTGTTCTCCTCAATGACTGACGTCGCTTTCACTTGGGCTTTTAAAGGGATAGGTCTCTTAGAAATACATTTTTCTTATGTTTTAGCTTACCTCAAGGGCATCCAAGATGTAGGTGTCTTTGTTTCCACAGTATTTTCAATTTTGATATTTTTAGGTCAAACCGTTCTTGTCTGTCAGTCATATAATGGAGATCTATGGTCACCACCTCAAAGAGCATGCACAGAGAAGTCCAAATTAAACATGATTTAATGACTCGTAAATGTAAGTACACGTTGATGGCCTAAGACACGAAACGAGCGGTTTGTGTGAGAAAACGAACAGTATGTATATCGTTTTTACCTTTTGTAACCACAGCCACGTCCAAATGATCTGAGGGCGCGGGCGCTTCGGTGTGCGCAAGCTCAGGGAGTGATCTTACGCGCGGTTGCGGAAAAAAATTCAGTGTTGTCTGTTAATTTTATCGAAATCGTCTTCCATTGCGATTTCATGTATATCTGAATATGTTTAGATCTTCACAGTGAAATGTAACACTTCCGAAACCTCTCGCCCTCAGATCACTTGGACGTGGCTGTGGTTACAAGAGGTAAAAACGATATAAATACTGTTCGTTTTCTCACACAAACCGCTCGTTTCGTGTCTTAAGCCATCAATGTTTACTTACATTACGAGTCATTAAATGATGTTTAATTTGGACTTCTCTGTGCATGCTCTTTGAGGTGGTGACCATAGACCTCCATTATATGACTGACAGACAAGAACGGTTTGACCTAAAAATATCAAAATTGAAAATACTGTGGAAACAAAGACATCTACATCTTGGATGCCCTTGAGGTAAGCTAAAACATCAAAAATTCATTTCAAAGTGAACTATCCCTTTAAAAACATGAGGTATTGCCCTGCGTTCAGAGAAGCGTCTTGTCTGTGCAGGGGTAATGTGATGCGACGATATTATGGGGTGGCGTCGGGTACCTTTGTCTTCTTTAATGGTGAGCATTGGCAGGGCATAAATGGTCTTGTATGAGGTGAGGGGGGCATTCAATGCACAGCCCAGGATGTCCTGAGAGAGAGAGAGAGAGAGAGAGAGAGAGAGAGAGAGAGAGAGAGAGATACATGCACAAGCTGAATTTATTTTTTTTATTTAGCTTTTATGTAGTTTCTTCTTTTAAAAAGAAATAAAGAAACCAAGTTAACATTACTGTTATTTTATAATAGAATAATATAAATATAAAATAATAAAAATGTAGCATGTCAAAAATCACACAGAGAACAGTGTTCATTTTACATTTTTCATGTGCTACCATTACTATCCTTATATATTAATAATATTAAAGAGACCATATGATGCTATTTTAAAGGTCGTTAAATTAACTTGCTTTAATGTATAACAAACACATTAACATCTGTCTGAAACGCTCCGAGTTTCTCCAAAGCCCCTGCTTCTGAAAAGCTCAGAGTGTTCTGATTGGCCAGCTGACACAATGCATTGTGATTGGCCAACACAAGTGTGTTAGAAAACGTAACGTCTCTTACCATAATCACAAGCCTCAGCTTCATTTGCTTCTAAAGCAATTGTAAACACAAACAGTTAATATTGTTTCCGGTATTATTGTATCAGTGCGACTTCAGGCCCCGACATACTTCAAGCGAAATGATGCGACATCATTTGGTAATAAAAAGGTGTTTAGCGTCATTTTGAACAAAATCAGGCCAAAATGAACTCCGTTTGGATTTTCGAAACAGCTTGCCAGCTTAAGAGAGCTTTTCATTTTAATATATACAACATAATAATACACACTACTATTGGTTCGTGGCGATTATGTAATAGGTAGATGTGCGCTGAGGCTCCGCCTTCTTTCACATGGAAATCTTTTCTAGTTCATTTCCACTGTTGGAGGCCGTAGAGGTGGAGTGAAAACATGAGCACAACGCGGTTTATAGTAGAAAATCAAGTTGTACTTCTGATGAAACGAGACACAGACACTGTAATATGATCAAGCTTTTCTTGACCAAATTAGAAAGTTGAGACTGTTTCATAATAAATATTACCTGCTCGGTCAGAATTCTCTATTTTTCACTGCTTGAGAACATGGGTTGAATCCGAAATCGCCCCTAAACCCTCATTTACTAGGCCTATTCCCTACATTAGTCCACTAATGGGCTCTATGCACGGCGGTATTTCCGGTGAAGGATTAAGGATGCTCGATAACTTCCGCCGATCGTAGAGTCCAATGCAATACAGAGAATTTATATTGAATTTTATACTCCATGGTTATAATAAAGAAACGTTAGTCACAAAAACAGATAAAACAGACACCCCTCGTTGTGTTATGCTTCTTTTTAAAATTATATTAAATAAACATAACTATATATAAAATTACATCTAAACGTATGTACGTTTCGTTTCAAAGTCGGGAGGACAGTAAATTTTGAAGACTCTGCCATAATCCCGTTTTCCTCGGTTCTCCTCCGCTTTAATCTCCACAACCGGAAATGGACGAGCATCCTTGCGTCAAATGCGGAATTTATGCGTGCATATAGCCAATACTGTTCACTTGAAAGAGTGAATGAGAAGGAGTAAGTAAAAACGAGTGAGCGAATTCGGACAGCCGTTGCTGACAGAGACGCGATCTGACACGCGTCCCATTTTCTCCCAAATCTCTACGTTCGTTTAAGACTGCTCTTATGGACATTTTGGCATAATTTGTGTGTTATGGTTTGTTCAAGCCCCAAAGAGAACTCGATACCGACGCGCGTCTTTTCTGTGAGTCGTGTGTGTGTTAAAGGGTTAGTTCACCCAAAAATGAAAATTAAGTCATTAATTACTCACCCCCATGCTGTACCAACCCCGTAAGAAAAAACAAACAAAAATAACGAGTTTATTCGACTATTTCTTTTCTTCCTTGTAGGCCAGAACGAGACTTCCTTAGATTTCCACGACGCATGCGCGAGAATTGCGATCTGCTTACACCAGCTTACACCACTTCAGATCGCAATTCTCACGCATGCGTCGTGGAAATCTAAGGAAGTCTCGTTCTGGCCTACAAGGAAGAAAAGAAATAGTCGAATAAACTCGTTATTTTTGTTTGTTTTTTCGCACAAAAAGTATTCGCGTCGCTTGATAAACATATAGTTGAGCCACGGTAGTCACATGGGATATTTAAACATTTTCTTCATTGACTTTCTGGGCCGTCAAGAGGCAGTCCTTTAGGAGCCAATGTGGTAGTTATACAGCTCTCAAATTTAATCAAAAATATCTTCATTTGTGTTCCGAAGACGAACGAAGGTCTTACGGGGTTGGTACAGCATGGGGGTGAGTAATTAATGACTTAATTTTCATTTTTGGGTGAACTAACCCTTTAATAGGCAGGATTTAACAACTACTGCGTAATTGCGTTCAATATTTTTAAAGGCTTTAAACTTTTTTTTTTTTTTTCACATGCCAACCGCGGTGGGCATGTCATGAAACCGGTGTTGAGACTGAACACCGGTAATACCGTAGCAAGCCTAATGGGCGGGTGGAGAACATGCAGGACAGACCCGACTACTGACTGTAGTCTTTAGCCTCTGGACAAAAAATCCTCCGATGACGCAAAATTAATATTTTTTCCATCATTAGAGGATTATTTACAGACAAAAAATACATAAATCTCTCATCTCAGGGGGATATGAGGGTGGAAAGCATGGTAATTCAAAAATACTACAGGTTTTTTACTAATACAAAGCTTAATGCTAAATCCTGAAGTATCCCTTTAAGGGAAGTAGGTAACGTCTGGACTTCAATCCATATGTTTCAGGCAGGTCTGGAGCAGAGTTCATTAGATGCTTACTTTTGTGGGGAGACAATGACTTTTGTGACTTTGCAGATCTTGTATATGCACAAACACACATCATATGCGCCCTATAATATTAGTAATAAAAATAGTACAACAAATACTCTCATGCTTTTTCATTTAAATTACATGTTATTCTTATAATTTGGATTTCATATTCCATTTTAGGGACCAGTGTTGGGAGTAACGCATTACAAAAGTAATACATTACAGTAACATATTACTTTTTGCTGTAATGCAGTAGTGTAAGGCATTACTAATCAATTTTCAGTAATATTTTACTCGTTACATGTTCAGTGAGGCTTGTATTACAGTTGTATTACAGTGTAATGTCTGATTTTACTTCTTAAAGGCAACAGACTATGTGAAAGTTTTAAAGCAGTCTTTTAGTGCCAGTTCAGAGCGGTCGGATCTGTAACATTGTCTTTTCCTCATAAATGCGAACACGAAAACTAAAATAAAATGAATATTTTAAGTTCTATGGAGACTGGAGAGCCAACCCTTCCTCATCCGATTTGCGCAGTGTAATTAACAGAATTACAAAAAATCGATTTTGCCTCCTATTTTTTTGTCACGCATGAATGTGTGTCTTTTCCCTAATATTAAAAATAAAACATAGACTGATATTTGTCTAATGTCTGGAGTCCTTTAAGGAAGTAGCCTATATACGTTTCAATACATGAATTTTCTGAGAATTTTTATTTCAAGTTTTGACTGCAAATGTCATGTCCATAATGCTGGACTTCCCCAATTTTAAATAATTTATCCTCAACTAGTTTTGTGGTGTAGGTCTACGTATTTTAAAATGTTAACTTCAAATAATACTAATAGCCTAATTTAAAGATAAGGCAGCATTGGATATGGACGGTAAGGAGAATAACGCTGGAGTTGGAAGAGGTGTGTCGCGATTCTGTAGGTTCGTGGATCTGAGTCGTGTGGCGAATCGCGATTTCGGTTTCATATTGCATTTCGTTACAGCCCAAAAGTTAAGTTCTACTTAGTTATTTTGGTGAAAGTAACTCAAAAGTAATACATCAGTAATGTAACGCATTACAATTCTGGGACAGTAATATTGTAAGGTAATGAATTACTTTTAAATAACAGTAACAAGTAATACCTAATGTATTACAGTTTGGAAGTAACTTGCACAACACTGTTAGGGACACAAACCTGGCCCATGATGTTCATGAGCACCGGAACCACTCCGTTCTCTTTGGTGAAGCCCTGGTAGGACATGTTCCTGGCTGACCGCTGTGTGCTGATGAACAGGTCACAGTTGGCCGTCTCAAATATGATGTACTTCATATCTGGCCGAATCCAGCAATTCGTTTGACCAAACATGGTTTCAGGCCTCAGAGTCGCAGCAACCAGAAAAATGTTCTTGTCTTTAAGAACCCTGAAAACATACCATGATTTTGGTACCATGACACATAAATATGTCAATCATTGTCAATCGTCGTAATATTAGGGATTTTACCTCAATTTTGCTGGGTACGGTTCCACAATCTTCATCTTAATAAGAGTGTACTCTTGAGGACCGACTCCCTGCAATACAGATCATTACTAAATGACACGCATTAAAAAAAAAAAGAAAAAAAAAAAGAGGAAATTCGTAATTAATTCGCCCACCTCTCCTGTCTGTCTGTCATGGTCCATGCAGGGCTGCCCATCTTTCGGAGAGTAAATGGTATATCTATAAGACCAAAAAAAAAAAAGGGTTTCATAAACTTGTAAATAGACTATGACGCTCTTCACCTTACACATTTGAGGATATAATAGTGAGTAATTATTACCTGGTCTCCCCTGTTTATTGTCGCAGCTCTTTACAATACAGCGAACACCCATGATTGCAAACTATGCTTTTACTATCAAGTAATTGCTGACTCTGACTCTATTACTCCAACTCTGAATTAACTGCGTCTCAGGTGCTGCGTTAATCAATCCGCCCAAGTAGCAGTGCTTCGCCTTCTGAGAATTTAGTTCCCAATATTTATACGGCTAAAAGATGGCTGTGTCGCATATGACCTTGTTATTTGTACACTCTGTGACTAGACAAATCACAACATGTAAATAGGAAAATGTTTGCATTATTTTGTCACTTATAGGGATTAGTATGCTAGCTGTATCCATTTACATCCAGTCTTTGTGCTAAGCTAGGCTAGCGGCAGGTGCATCAGACAGAGCTAAAGGAGTAGTTCACTTTTTAAAAAAAACTTTTGCTGATAATTTACTCACCCCCATGTCATCCAAGATGTCCATGTCATTCTTTCTTCAGTCGAAAAGAAATTAAGGTTTTTGATTAAAACATTCCAGGATTTTTCTCCATATAATGGACTTCACTGGGAACCAAACGGTTCAAGGTCCAAAAGACAGTTTCAGTGCAAACGATTCCAGACGATGAATAAGGGTCTTATCAAGCGAAACGATCGTTCATTTAAAAAAAATAATAAAGTTTAAGTTTTATAAGCTCAAATGCTCGCCTTGCTCTTTTCTGTGACGCACGTTCGTGCCTCTCCTGTTCAAACTCGTTCATCAAAATGAACGAATCTTTTTTCGTGTCATGTGGTTTATTCAACGAACGAAAAGAAGGAGTTGACTCGGAAAAAGATTCGTTCATTTCGATGAACGAGTTTGAACAGGAGAATCAAAAACGTGCATCACAGAACAGTGCAAGGCGAGCATTTGAGCTTATAAAACTTAAACTTTGTTATTTATTTATTAAATGAGCGATCGTTTCGCTTGATAAGACCCTTATTCATAGTCTGGTGTCGTTTAAAGCCCTTTGAACAGTTTGTAGTTTGTACTGAAAGTGTCTTTTGGACCTTGAACCGTTTGGTTCCCATTGAAGTCCATTATATGCAGAAAAATCCTGGAATGTTTTCATCAAAAACCTTAATTTCTTTTCGACTGAAGAAAGAATGACATGGACATCTTGGACGACATGGGGGTGAGTAAATTATCAGCAAAAGTTTTTTTTAAAAGTGAACTACTCCTTTAGCTCTGTCAGTCTGACGCACCCACCGCTAGCCTAGCTTAGCACAAAGACTGGTTGTAAATGGATACAGCTAGCATACTAATCCCAATAAGTGACAAAATAATGTAAACATTTTCCTATTTCCTACTTCTTTAAAGCACACAAAGAGATGAAAAAGGACTTATCTAACTCTGGGGAATACGGTGAATAAGCTAAAGTCCCTAAAAGTCGGCGTGTTCAGAAAAAAAAAGGTCTTACGGGCTTGGGACAACATGAGTTATTAATGACATCGTTTTCATTTTTGGGTGAACTAACCCTTTAATATTTGACCATACCTTTTCCCAAACTTGATCTTTTTTCTCTCTTTCAGAGTGATGAACTGCCACCTCACAAAAGAGTCGTAGAATGGGTTTACATCGGTCGTGATGAAGGAGCGACGCCAATCAACCTACAGCATTAAAATGGTGCATTTAGCATTTAAAAAGCAACGTACAAAGTATCGGGTAGAACGACGATGTCTCAGGCGAGCTTTCGCTACCTTGAGCCCCATTTTCTTCAGGTCTTCTACAGCACGAGGAGGGAAATAATCCAGCCAATGTTCAGCTTCAGCAAACTTTACAATGTCGTCGTCCCGCAGGCCCAGAGACTTCATGATGTCCCACTGGAACTTGGCGCTTCCAGACTTTGCAACAGCTTTGCTCTGCCAATGGCACGACATTCGAAAAAAATAACCATTAATTATACTACAATATTGATCATTCGTGATACAACACTATACACAGGACATTTACCTTCTTGCCCTTTGACTTGTCCTTGATGATGACCTCATCAGTGGTCATCTTCTGCTCTTCCACCTCTTCATCTTCCTCAGGGAATTGGGGCGGGTATCCATACAGCTCCATTTCCCTCTTCAACTTGTCTGCACACGCCTGGTAGACATAGATGTTATGTTGATTACAAAAGTGTACAGATCTGAGGAGCAGAAGAGTTTAAGCGACTCACTTTGATGGGCATCCCAGTGCAGTGAAGTCCAAACGGGAAAAGACACAGCTTTCCTTTCAGCCGCTGGTAACCCACTGCAAACTAAACGAGAGATTATAATCCAGTCATACATTATATGACATGATGATATATTCTTTGATTGGCTTTCAAACTCACCTCACACTTTGACAGGCAGAACGTATGTCCGAGGTGAAGCCTCCCATTCATGTAAGGGTAGGGAAATGTGACCATGAACTTGCTCTTACTGGGTAGACGACGCATAATAATACATTAGTCATGAATATAATCTGGAAAACCTTAGGAAATATTGCAATATATATAAAACAGACTCACTCTGTACTTTCTCCAATGGTGGTTGGAGCGTCCGTCTCAAAAATCCTTTCCTTCTCCCATTTCTGCTGAATCTCCTCCTCAATCTTTCTCAAAAAGTCCAGTTTTGCTGTTCCTTTGCGTTCCTGGAATGACATATTTAACTTAAAAATTGAACTTCTACATGTGAACTATATGGAAAAAATATCCCTACACACACACATATACATACATATACAGCATATATTTACTGTATATATAGACACACATACACACACGCACAGAACTAGTAAAAAAAACACACACACACAGACACACAATATGTAATTAACAATATTAGTAATGTATTATAATATTATAAACCAGTTGTGTGCGTATATGCGTATATACAGTAGTTAACATTTGTTGATCCACTTCAAATGTTGACTACTGTATATATGTACCTCCATATACACACAACCGGTACAATTTTTGGAAACATTACTGATTTTAATGTTTTTGAAAGAAGTCTCTTCAGGGCTCAACACTAAGGATTTTTTCTACTGGCCAAAATTTTGACTGGCCCCACAACAAAAAATTTAGGAAAAGAATAGAAAATGGGCCTACGAAATAACCCTAGTATTGATTTCGTTATTTTTTGATACATGTAACCATAATAAATAAGGTTATGACACCAAAAGCAACTAGATCAACTTATTTAAACAGTAAGTATTCATAATTAAATATTGTTATTTGAAATAATTTTAAAACAAATGAAAATTTACTTTAAAAGTGAAATTAAACCTGCACTGTTAATGAATGAGTCATTGCGATTCAACCGATTCATCCAAATGGCCGATTCATTCAAGAAGGAATAAGTTGCTGTGTCCGAAATTTATATAGTGAACTATATAGTGAGCTCGCCATTTTGTAGTGCTGTCCGAATGTATAGTGATGATTATTATACCCTATATAGTCCACTCATGTATCCCAGAATGCATTTTGAAAAGTAGTGTACAACCGATGGTCACTAACCTTAGCCCTACATACCACTATGGAAACTATGGAGTGCCGCAGGGATCTGTGTTAGGCCCTTTATTATTCTCGAGATATATGCTGCCACTAGGTAATAAGGAAACATGGAATTAGTTTCCATTGTTAATTCTGATGACACTCAAATATATATTTCATCACGGCCAGATGAATACGCTAAATTATCCAATATAAAAGATATAAAAGATTGGATGACGCGTATCTTTCTTTTATTAAATCCAGACAAGACCGAGGTAATACTTATCGGTTCTAAAAACCGTCCTTTCGGAGGACGACTTTAACATATTAGGATGCCCTGTTACTTTATCAGCTGCAGTAAAAGACCTGGCTGTTACATTAGACTGCAACCTGTCAAAAACAGCCTTTTTCCACCTCAGAAACATCGCTAAGCATGACATCGTAACATGCTATCTGTCTCTGATGCAGAAAAGTTAGTTCATGCATTCATGACCTCGAGACTAGATTACTGTAACACTTTATTAGCCATTTGTCCTGCATCCTCAATAAGAAAGCTACAGTTAGTCCAAAATGCAGGAGACCAGGAGAACTGGCCCCCGACTGAGCCTGGGTTCTCCAAAGGTTTTTTTTTTTTCTCCATTTGGTCATCTGATGGAGTTTTAGGACACCGTCGGGTCACTTGATGGAGTTTTTCGGTTCCTTGCCACTGTTGCCTTTGGCTTGCTCAGTTGGGGATATTCAAATTAAATGACCCATCATTAATTGATATTGTGAAGCAGCTTTGATACAATCTGTATTGTGAAAAGCGCTATATAAATATATTTGACTTGACTTGACTGTGTTAATCATGTGTGGGAGTAGCGCATTATAACAAAAACGGCCAGAAATTACTTTTAGTTTTTAAATTTTGGAGAAATAAGCTCAATATAATGTAATGTATTTATTTAAAAAAAAAATCTATTTAGGCCAGAGCCGGCTAGGCACCAGCTGACAGATGATGTAATCAACGGCGCAGACAGACGATTGAATAGTGTCCGAAAGTGGTGTTTCTATTATGCTGGTGAGCTCACTATATAGTGCTCCACTCTCTACCCCCAACATAGGGGGTAGGGAGTAGTGCTTTTAGTGGAGATTTTGGGCACAGCAAATGAGTCATTGAATCATTGATTCAGCTGATTCGTTCAAAAAGTTGATTCAATTAGTAAAAATACCGTCATCTGTTGCTCAGAGGCGAAAAAGTGTTTTGGAACTATTTTCGTTGGCGGAATAGAGCGAAACAGGCGATTTGAAGTCTAAAATGTAAGTCACCTAATATTATTACTTGTTGTTTATTAACTTTATTAAACTGTATGTTGTATAAACTCAATATCACATTTGTAATCATGCTGATATTTGGAGAAACGGCGCTTTTCGATTAATACTGGTTTACTGTATTAAATTATATAAATATATAAGACATACAGGGGCATTTTGGCACCTTATCTTGAATCTGGGGGCATTTTAAATGCATTGATTTAATAGACTATCTAAAGCACACGCAGTAAAGGCATAACATTACAAATGAGTACGCGCGCTAGTCTAATCTCCTAACTCAGTGGTTCTCAAACTTTTTCAGGAGGAGGCCCCCTTGTGTAGGGTGAATCATTTTGTGGCCCCCCAAAAGAAAACACATAACGAAAACATCCTCAAACGTACAATTTTACTTACAAATTTTAGATTGTACCAAAAACAAATGATTTTGTACAATGCTGGAACAACAGTTCTGTTTGTAGCTTTATGTCTTTGAATATACAAAATTAGTTAAATTGTACATTTCATTAAATATAACAATTTTTTATTAAAAAAAATGGTTTTGACAGTTAACAATAATATTTTCTGAAAAGTGCAACAAAAGTATTGAATACTGAACATTTGTGATGTTCATAGTAAAAGATGAACACTGAAAAATTAATTTGCTGATTGTAAAAAAGTGCATTAAACTTCTTACATTTTAAGGTATTAAATGACAGTGGCTCAAGTTTGGTTTGCAATTTTGAACAGCAATCTGTTTTTTCAGCAATCTTTTTTTTCTGCAAGAAACAAAAAAAAAAATTCTATTCTACTTAAAGAAATAGTTTTTCAATATAGAAGACATACAATTTTATACAAGTTTTACAATATAAAAGAAATCATGCAATGCAGATTTCACATAGGACAATACAAACTTACAGGTAAAATAATTTTAACATATTCTAGAATTTCTTTGCGGCCCCCCTAGCGCCACGGCCCCCAGTTTGAGAACCGCTGTCCTAACTAGACTACATCACGCACGGTAACGTTACTAGAGTATGCGTGCACTCGTTTTTGTTTTTTTGTAAAGTGAGGGACATACTGGATGATGTCGCACACTTCTACAACACTGGCCCGATCGGGCAAGTGACAACTGTCCCCATCGTTCACAGTGGCCCCGCCCTGTCTTACTGACCACAAACTTTGGAATATGTATATGTATATGTGTATATTTTTAGAAATTATGTATATTTTAAATAAATGCTTAAAATAAGCAGCACTGTTTCCAACATTGTTAATAAATCATCATTATGAAAGTTTCATCATCTTGTGATCTGTTAAATATTATAGCTTATGCTCATTAATTTACCTTCCAGTCCAGATACCAAAATGGTAAATTTGCTAAGCTATAAACTGGTACTTGAGCATCACTACTGTTCTGAGCTACACACATCAGCAACTCTGATTGACAGCTGTCAAATATTACTCTGCCAACAACTTTGGCAACTTGCAAGAGTGTTAATGTTGTTGTAGAGATCGCTTTCAGAGTGGATCGAATATTTGCAACTACTTTTTGTTCAGGAGGATTCAAAGAAAATACATGAACAACGTTAGACATATGCATGAAGCTAAGGTTAGTTGCTAAAGATCACCACGCTGCTCAATGGACCGGTTTAATATTGTTTAAGGTCGTGAAACAGGCAGTGCTCCGAACCGAAAGAAGTAAAGAGTGAGAAACATTAAACCGGCTTAAAATAAATCACATTTACCGTCATTTTGAATAACTTCAGCTGGATTTGTTGAAGAATAAAACCCACGCTGCACTCGGCTGATGACACCGGTCAGAAACGTCACCGCCGGAAGCCGGTTTGCATTGTGGGTAATGTGGTTTTAAACAATTTTACTATTTCACACACACAGAAAGAAATTATAATAATACAGTTTTTAAAATTGCTTACGGACAACTTCTAAAACTATGGCCCCATTTCTCAAAATCTTCTCAAAACACGCTCACAAGATGCAAAATGTCAGTCATCTCTTGCAAAAGCAAACACTTCATTCAGAACTATTTTAAATCTTCTAACATTTGTATTTTTGCATAGTAACTCGACACACAAACTGTCAATTGATTAGACACATATATGCCAAGCTACACAGAAATGTAAAAATGTAAAACACTACTCTATTGTATCTTTGGCTTGTTCGAGTTTGTCACACATAGGCTATGTGCACAAATAGCTACTCAATTCATTAATTATTATACCTTTATTTAACCAGAAGAAAACTCGTTGAGATTAAAACTCTTTTCCAAGAGTGTCCTGGCCAAGACAGGCAGCAGCAAAAATAACAAAGTTGCAGACAAAAAAAAAAAAAAAAAACATGGAACATATAGCATAAACATAAAACATAGAAGCAAGGATCATCCAACTAATTATTCATAGCAATTACAAACAGTATGTATAGGCTCTATATCATTTAAAACTAATTTAAAAGCAGCCAGTGAAACTGGTTCCTGAAGATGTAAGACATCTTGTCATCTTTCATAAACTTTACAGTTATTAAACTGAACTGAATCAGCACTGAACTGAAATTTTAGCTTTATAATGACAATATTGGCTTGTTAGATTTGCTTTACAGCATAATTTGAGTTTGTTACTATTCTGCTTGGAAACAATGTATTGTGTAAAGACTGAGATATAGGTGCTTGAATTGTATGCAAATATGTTTAGGAAATATATACAAAATAAACTGAAATGCAAGGGTGTTTCTCATTTCACTGTGATCAAATTAGGTAGGCCTATTTACACTATTGACAGAAATGCAAGAGGGTAACAAAGTTTTATTTCTTTCTGAAAATATTGAGTTTTGATTTCTAAGTGATAACTTCAAACACTGATAAAGTTTTTGTTTTCAGATCTTTTTAAGATGTGGTTTCTGTTCATGTGTGCCATGCAATACATTTTAGAAATCCCGACTGAATTACATTTTACGTCCATGTCCAGGAAAAAGAATATGGTCACCCAACCAATATTCATACAGTTAGGGTGATATTACTGTAAATTACTTAAATTTTGTCCATTCGCCCATCTCTAAGTCACTCATTCCCTGTGTGACTTGAAAAGGCTTGCATAGGCCTTAGTTTGTGGCCTCAAAGCTTGAGCACTGCTCTGAGCTCGATTGATGATGTCTGAGGTAAACCACACACCCCTCATTACCATATGGACTATGGAAATAAATAATAAATATGAAAACTACAATTATACATAAACAAGGAAATAAAATAGTATAACTCATAAACGTATTTATACACATATTTTTACATTTATATTTATTTATTAGTATGTCAGCTTTGGAATTTCACAAATTCAATGTATTGAAGTCACTGTTTTGCATCACAGCTTAATATAGATAACAGTAAAGCTAACTAACATATTCATACAAAAAGCCAAACAATTTCACGTGGACTTTAAAGGAATTGTGATCAAATTAGGTTTAAAAGAAAAATTAAGAACATTCTTCTCTCACAAATAAGATTACTTAAAGTAATTATTTTTAAATAAGTTACTAAAACAGAGACTTCAGAAAAGAACAACAAAATAAACGAAAACTTTTAATTAAAACCGTTGAAATTGCAACTTTAAATACCTTTTTGTACTAATTTATACTTTGTCCTCAGACTATTTTATTTTGTCATTAACAGTCGAGACCTCAGAGTCGGATTCAAGTGCGCTGTGCAAAACCGTCTCAAGTTCACCATGGTCTCAAAACTAGCATTTACAAAATGAATTCTCTCCCGCTGCTCACTGTGCCTGAGCAGTTTGAAATAATTTGTATCCAAACCACAATGTTTAAAAATGCGTTTAAATGATAAACTTACATCGATGCGCAGCAAAATTTAAATATTTCTACCGGATATACAACCCGGTATCACGACAAGACGTGAAATAATCAAGTTGGTCCACTTTGGAAAACGTGTAGATGTCACGGTTTAACCCCCTCAAACGTGAAACTTACACGTTTGACCTATTCTACACGCAATCGCCTCTGCCATAACGACCTATTGGTTTTCATTAAACCGAGAAAAAATGGAATTTTGTTTTATTGACGATCACTGAGAAATGTTCTATTAATTTAAATGCAAAAAAAAGTATTATTTTCAAGGTGAAAAGGATTCATTTGCCTTGATCCACGCCGAAAAAAACGTCAAAATGTCACGTTTTAATGAAGTAGCCAAATGAGTAAAAGGTCTATTTTTCCGGTGTCCCCCAGCTCCTCGTTTAAGCAAAAGGTTCGCTAAAACAACGCATTACATCGACGTTAAACCGTTAACCGTGTTAACCATAACCTTTTAAATACTCGACCTACCGTTGCTTAGCAACGGGAAGAAACTCCTGTGACTTCAGTGCCATTAGCATCTGTGCTTACAGATTAGGAGATATTAGTGTGTTCGCTGCATTTGTAATGTTATACTTTTAAAATAGGTTAACATCCGGGTATGTCTCCACTAGAATGTGTTAACGCAAACGTGTAAGTTTCACGTTTGAAGGGGTTAAACCGTGACATCTACACGTTTTCCAAAGTGGACCAACGTGATTATTTCACGTCTTATATTATCGCCAGTCCTTTAGGCGAATATAGAGTTTAATCAAACACAAAAAGCAAAATTATACATCCATCAAGTTAATATTCAAACTTACCGAAAGTTTAAGAATAGACTAGAATGAAGTGAAGAGTAAAGATTTATTGGTTTATGTATTCTAATAACCTATTTTAAAAGATGACTTGATTTTGATTTGATTTCCACCATAAAATAATCACGACGAAGTGTACTGACGAACACGAAGCTCGTGTGAATACCGACTGTTGTTATTAAAGCATGTAATTCTTAACATTGGAGCCCATACTAGATCCTGAGGAATGTGTGAAATACTGCCACATCCGGGCTGCTGAGGAATCAGCAACAAGAACAAGAACAAGAATCAGGATCAGAATCAGAGTCAGAGTGGTGGTCTGATCTCTTCCTTTTCCGTTCTCTACTCTTTGACCTGCCAGACGTCTTTCTTTTTCTTTTAACACCCTGTCTCATCTCGACCTGACTGCCTGAGCTTTGGTCAGCAGGTGTTGTGGAGCGTCCGGATCTGATCTCAGATCTGCTGTTGACCAGGTGAGAAGGTCCAGGCTGTTCGTCATCTGTGCTGGCCCCATCCATAGATGGTCCTCCAGCTCTGGCCTCACTGTTGTCTCTGTGAGAAGGTCCAGGCTGATCATTATCTGAATCAAAATCCGATTTCTTCTTTTTCCGTTCTCTGCTTTCTGACCTGCCAGACGTCTTTCTTTTTCTTTTAACACCCTGTCTCATCTCAACTTGAGTGCCTGAGCTTTGGTCAGCAGGTGTGCTGGATCCAGTGGTTCTGATCTCAGATCTGTTGTTGACCAGGTGAGAAGGTCCAGGCTGTTCATCATCTCTGGATGTTTCTCCAAGTAATGCTGAAGAAGAAATGCCTGAGATGAGTGAAAAACTTGAAGAATCAGAATCAGAGTCAGAGTGGTGGTCGGATCTCTTCCTTTTCCGTTCTCTACTCTTTGAACTGCCAGAAGTGTTTCTTCTTCTTTTAACACCCTGTCTCATCTCGACCTGACTGCCTGAGCTTTGGTCAGAAGGTGTTGTGGAGCCTCCAGATCTGATCTCACTGTTGTTGAGCTGGTAAGAAGGTCCAGGCTGTTCGTCATCTGTGCTGGACCCATCCATATGTGATCCTCCAGATCTAATCTCAGAGCTGTTGTTGATCTGGTCGCCTGGTTGAGATGGTCCAGGCTGTTCATCATCGGTGCTGGACTCATTTGTTGATGTCTCCGCACGTTCTGCCGGTTGGGTATTAATATACACTGGATAAAATGCAATTTCCATAGAGTCACCTGATGCGTGCAAAGTGACAGACCAGTGATCTGCATTCCAGGCCAGCATGGAGAGCAATCGATTGTGTTCAGGACCAGCCGTCAGGAAATTCAGAGCAAGTTCATTTAGAGACCTTCGAACCAACCCAATATAAAAACGTGGCCTGGTAGCAGTTAAATGCAGTGGTATGTGTATATCTGGAAGAGTCCTCTGGACATCACCATCTTCAATTGTAGCTTGAATCACATATTCTGGATTATCAAAACCGTCATCCTGAACGATATCTTCAGCGATGTTGCCGTCAAAATTTTCACCTTGAGCCATCTGAACTGTACAGTTATCTGCTGACCTAAAAAACTGGTATTTGTTCGCTAGTACCCAGGCAACACTGATTACCTTTCTCAACTACTGCTGTTATGAGCCTCTGAGGTGCATCAGTTATATATACAGTACAGCTTTTGCTTAGAATGCTGCTGTGATGTCATCAGTGATGTCATCAGTGGAACAAGCCAGGGCAAGGGACCCGTTTAAAAAACAACAAACTCTGTCTGTAATGTCATCAGTGATGTCATCAGTGGAACAAGAGAGCAAGTCGTTTAAAAAACAACAAATTCTGTACAGCTGTGAATGATCCAACCTACTGAAGATATCCAGTAAGTTGCTGTTGCGTTGTGTGTGTGTGTGTGTGTGTGTGTGTGTATACACACAAAAACATCAACAACAACTTGAATAAGTTACTTAAATTACTGAACTTCAATATACAAGCTTGATATGCAAGAAAATTTCAAATGGCACTTCATATAAATATATATATATATATATATAGTGTGTGTACAGTACATGACATCTAAAGGCATATTTGTTTACTTACATAATTTCACGTAACATTCATGAGAATGGTGTCACTGGATCCATCAGTACCATCTGCATAAAATAAGATTTACAGCCCAGCTTTAACATCCAGACCAC